TTGCCTTCTGCCTCTTGTGTATTAACAGTGAACTTTTTGCCTGGTTTCTGTTATTCATTTTTAGTTGGTTGTTTCCCTATTTTTGAGTTCTTTCCTAATTCAGGTACCTCCCTAATGCTGGTGAAGATTCTTGAAACTTATCTGGAAATAACTATTCTTTTGATGTGCAAATAGAATACTCAAAAAAATGTTTTTTCTATCCATTAAACCTTTTTCCTGAGGAATTAATGGAATTGCAGTCATCTAATTGCAACAGATTACAAATCATCTATCATACATTTCCTTTCATGGACATTAGGTGACATGTTGATACAATAAAATGGGGTTTGAAACAATATCCCTCCCCTCCACAGACACACAATTAATTTCAAAGGCCATCATGGCACAACACTGATCATTAATTACCTCAAGCCTCAGCCTGTTCTTATCTCCCCAGAGGAGTTCACTGCCTCCAAATTTTAGAAACTGTTTCTTCATCGGATCAAGAATTGTACTTCACTAGGATTCCCATAATATCAGCCACAAATTCAATTTTATAAACATGGCAATATTTTCCCAACAAGATCCGTGGTGCATTGTAGCAGGGATGGACTGGAAGCAGTAAGAGCAACATCCAACACAAAGAAGAATCCACAGTGAGTGGGATGATGGGAGCAGTTTCATTTTATACCCAATTTAACATCAGCAAAAGGCAAGTCTTTTTGTCTTCCCTATCCCTCTTCCAGCCATGCATTCCTGTGTTTCCTTTACAAAGTCATGTAGCTGCAGGGCTCAAAAATATCAGCCCCCTGGCCCAAGCAAAAATTAACCTACCAGAAGAATATTTCCTGCAAAATTTTACTCTTTGGATATAATCCTGAAGAGAATCATGGCTGCAGATACAATTGATATTGGTGCCATCATGGGTAGAACAAACTCAGCTAGGTGAAAATCAATTTAATGCATGGCTAATTAAAATAGGTTTGGATAGCAATAGACAAAGACAAATTAAAACACCACCTTCCCTCATATTCTCTTTCCCAGACTCAATGTTACTCCCTCATCCATAAATCCTGCATCCTCTCCTGCAAGAAGGGCTTGTGGGGCTGTTGCTCACATATTTTTCTCACATCCTTCTTCTCACAGCCAGGGCCTTTACAGCTGTCCACAGTGGAATACTAGAGACCAAAGAGTTTACTCTTAGCTGCAAAAAGCAGCAATCTTTTCAAGCATGGACAATTTGATGTCAAATCTCAAGCTGACAGGGAGCAGGACTGGGAGATCTCCAACACAGAATTGCATTGTGGGGCTGTTATCAGTCACAACTCACATTTTAAGGAAAAAAATTCCAAAAGCTATGTTCAGTAGGATTTCTATCACAGGTCCAGTGCATGCTGAAGATGTTACAATCCAGGCTGGTTTCCTGGCTTATCACACTGACCTGGGACACAGTGGTTTGCCACAGGTGAGTTGTACCATGGGAATCCTTGCCCAAGGTTGTGCTCTGATAGGTTGTTGTTGATACCATTCACACAGATGTACTTGAAATGAAACCAGGGCTGCAGAAATGATCATCTTTAGGAAAATTTGCAAATTATGAAACAGTGCCAACAGCCCTTTAGCTCCTCTTAGTGCAGTCATTGCTCAGCTACAGCAGATTATTTGCCCAGAGGAGTCTGTGGTTTGGTTCTTCCATTTGGCTTGCTGGAGCCCTACACACCCAATAGATATTCCCAGATAATCAAAAAAATGAGTCATCAAAACATCTCACACAACCTCATTTCTGAAGCCTTCAGTACTGGCATTAAGGGACTCATAAAGTTGGAGTCCTCTAAGACAAATACCTTCAAGGATGACATCCTGGCTCCACTGAAGCTGATGGCTGAGCTCCAAAGTGACACTTTCTGAAAATGGCATTTCACTTTGAAAGGCTTTTTGTTTCAGAAAGATGAGCTTAGCTGGTCTCTATCCCTATGCCTTAGTGGATATTTGCAGCAATACACCATAATCACTGAGACCTCAGAGGTAAGGGAGGGTAGGATGGCACAAGGCCAAGGGAAAGCAGGTCCCACCTTACCTGCCACTCATGCTAACACAATTTATTTACTTCATTAGGCACACAGGAGTGGGTAACAAGACACATCTGTTGTGTTTAAATCCCTGCCAAGTGATGGTACTGGTCTTTATGGGGATTTAAGCCCCAGGTTATGTGGAATGTGTACAATCTAATCTGTGTCACTGTAAAATCTAAACCAATAAAAGTCAGTGTACAAGTCCTCCTTATCTCTGTGTTATCTTCCAATAGAGTGAATAATCAAGCAGGGGGCTCTAACAGTAGCAAAACCTCCCACAAGCTTTCCTGTAAAAAATGAGCAAAAAGAAAAGAGGTAAGTTTAATTAATCAGTAATAAAAATCTGTCCTTAGACCCACTACCTGAGTCCTTTGCCACCAGCTTCCATATAAAATTTCAACACAATTTCCTGCAAGTTACAGGTTCTCAGCATTTCTTGGCTGATTGGCCTCTGGTATGAGGCAGTGGCCCTGTCCCAACCCTCCTGCTAGGAATCTACAAAACCTCTGCTGACACTACATGGAGGCTAAAAGCCACAGAAATTGTGTTTGTCTTCCCTTTGCTGTAAACCAAAACAAATCTTTCACAGGAAAACCAAGTGTAAGGGAGCAGTTCATACTTTGTCTCTTCAAATATCCCTTGGAAGCCAGGCCCTAATAGTATCTGAAGGATATATAATGCTTTGAAAACCCAGGTTTCTTGGTTACTGTCTCTTATTCTTTTTTTCCCTTCAAAATAATTTTGTTTTTCTTCTATCACTTGCCATTGATTTCTGCTCTCCCCTACTGGCAAATTTATTCTGTATACTCTGCTAACAAGAGCCTTTATTTCCCTACCCAGCTACAGCATAAACTTTCCCTTCAACTTTTCAATTCTCTCCTAAACCTTCTATCAATCAAGCTGACCTGAAAACCAGGTTCTATGCCTATTTTAATATGAAAAAATGACTCTCTGCTAAGAGGATGGGATGTCAGCCACCCAGAATTACACTGATCCCAATTCTGCTAGTGGCAAACCTTCTGAGACAGACAGTGCTCAGTTATTTGCACACACAAAGCTGTAAAAACTGGCCAATTTAGTGACTTTCAACAGATAAATCCTGCTACCACTGAAGGACAGAACTCTTGATGTATCTCACTGACTCAAAGTAAACGACTCACATAACAACTGGAAGAATAAGAAATCATTAAATTGCAAAGCTTCACTTTAACAAGCATGTTAAAGTCTCATAACACACTTGAGAGCTTCCCATCTAACCCTGCATCACTCTGCTCAAAACTGGGTTACAAAGACTGTCCAGTTGCACAATTACCACTGAAATATTGTACCTGTAATGCCATAACCAACAATTCCTTTGGCTACTTTTTCTATATTCTGCTTTTAATTCACATTTTAAACAACAACAGCAGTTACCCCAACCTAGCTAGTAACCCTAGGTTTATTACCAACTTTGTTTTCTTTTAGGCTTCCTTGTTTTCACAGCACTTTCTGTATTGTCCTTCACAGGTGAATGGCTGCAGTTCTCCTAAACCAAGTCCTCTCATCCTCCACCTCAGTCAAATCTCAAATGCCACAGTATTTCCCAAGGTTAATTTACAAGCAGAAAAGCATAGTCTTCATTTCTACAGATCTGTAAAGAGTTTTTAATTTAAAAACCCAACCCAACCAACCAACCAAAAAAAATACCAACAACTGGAATTCAAATCACCTCTTAAGTTTTTTTTAGTGTAACAAGCCTATCTTCCATAACTTCCTCAGCTGGAGCCCTTTGAAATCACTCATTGCAGGCTTGTGCTGTTAAGGATCAGGAGCAAAGTAAAAATGGGTTATCTGCCAGGTTTGGTTTAGCCTATTAGAAACTTTAAGCAAGAAAATTTATTATGGCTGAAGACTGAACAGGACTACTCTGGCACCGACCTGTCCGCTGATCCTTTAGGACATGTAATTGTGTCTTTGAGTATAAAATTGACAGCATTCAAATTTTATTTCTATGTATTTCACTTGCTCACCCTTCCTTTATAATTTCAGCAGCTATTGCTGCCTACTGTGTCATTTCCTCTTGGGCTGTATCTGCTTGTGCCAGTGGCAATGGTTACTCACCACACATTCAGGGCTTACAGAACACATCATTGCAGGGTCCCTCCTCACCACTTATATTTCATGAGCCTCTTTTAAGCTCAAAATAGAGCTAGTAGCACAATTAGATGCATAATTAAAGTTGTGCAAGATATTTCATTGGTTTAAGTGGGAGTTTGATAGGAAATTCTGCTCCTGTCAGTCTTCACAATTACTGATACCAAATTCATACATGCTAAGATGGTTTTCTTCTCATATGTACCTTAGGTAGAAAACTCTGCACCAAAAGGAAGAAAAAAAAAATGATTGGAGTATTGTATAGATACAAAAATAAAGTAAAAACAAACTACAAAAATCCTATGCTGGAATCCAAACCTCCAAAAAGAGAGATTAAGCAAGTAAGGGGAATCAAGCATTTATGAATTTACATTTTACAATGGCATGAAAGAGTGAATTTATGTCAAAATTTCTATATGATGTCAGTACAGAAAAGCACTTTTAGAATAAAAGCAGGCTAACACTGTTCCTTAGCTTTTCTAACAACAAGGCCATTTTCAAATTTGGCTATTTACAAACCCATATACATGATGTTCAATTTTTTACTCACTACACAGGGAAGGGTCCTTCACTTCCTCAGACCACGAGGGTACCACTAAGGATCCAACTTTAAGCACTGTATTTCAGCACAAACTATTTCAAGACAGGCACATTCCACGCTGTTGTTGTGCAATCTGGAAAGCTGCTGTTTTATATTTTTTACAGAACTGTACTGAAATATCTTCAACTATAGGGCTACACTGAGGTCACAATTAAAAAAACATACACAGATGACAGCTTCTCAATGTATGCTGCAGTATAATAGTGAAAATTAACTCAGGCCATTAAAAAAATTTTATTCTTTTCCATGAAAGATTGGTACTACAATCAATATAACCATTTCATCAGTCAAGTATGTCTGTTATAGGCAGGCACAATATTACAAAACAGGCAAGTACAATGCCTGATTAAGCAAATACAGTCTGAATATCTATTCATCCACTATTTCTGAAAACAGAATTATCAAATATCCACCAGGGAAAAGGATGAACTATTTTAGTTTCTCTTTGGCATACTTATCAGGACAATGAATCAATTACAAAAGTCTTCTATTGCTGCCAGTGCTGTGAAGGAAAAAGAACTGAGTGGAAGGTTTCATGTCAGAACTCGCTTTTTGGACTTGGGCAACCTGGCTCACACAGCCAAACTGGTGACAAATGACAGTTCAGCTGCCAATGCTTCAGGAGGCAGACAAGGATTACATTGTTTTACACTGCAGGTCTGTTCAAGGTATCAAAAGAGTTACAGTAAATTTCTGCACAGTACATACATATTACACACAGTTATAAATACCCATGCTGCGGCTGGACACGAGGAAGTTGCTTTACCAACACGAAAGCTCAGTATCAGACCTCCCACCAGCCACTTGATACACATTGCACTTCCCATCCAGTAATATGTTCATTTCTGTACCTCTCTTAAAAATAGATTTAAAGCAGAAGTGAAGAATAATATTGAATCTTTCCATAAACTTTGTTTTCTTATTTACACTGTAATATTCCATTATACATAAAGACTGCGTAACGATACATTATCTTCATATAGCTTTTTGCAATACATACAGCTTGGAGCTATTAACATCTTGGTTTGGGAACACAGATATGACCTATAAGACTATTCAAAAACAATTTGAGCCTTAATTTTGCTCTAGTTTGTTTCACTGAAACCATTCTTTGAACAAAAAAAGAATCCTCCTTACTGGAGAGGAAATAAACAACTTATGTTTAAATCACCTCTGGATTTCTTTAAACCACTAAGAAACTTAGAAACCATAATAATTTTTTGCATAATTATAAAGCCACTTCAAAGGCCTGTTACTTTTAAATTTAGAATATGAATGACAATTGTGACCGTATCTTTAAATTATTTTTTTCTTAACTTTTGGTTATCTTTCAACACAGAAAAATGAAAATGCAATCATTAATTATACATGATCTTTGCACAACTGGGGAGTGTTCCTATTTTATTCGTGAGACAAAATGAACATGCATACAACCCCCATTCACAGAGTGAGAACATAAACTACAGCAGCACTTGTCTCAAGTTGTGGTGCACATGGTTGCAATACGGAGTATAAAACAAAAGCAGAATTTCCAACATCTGTTAAAACACAAAAAAAAAACCTTATTGTACAAAGAGTCATTCACATTCTCTGCAATGAAGTGAAGAATCAGCTGCTTTCTGGACTCTCCAGCCTGCAAACCCCTCCTTCTATTGCCACGGACTGTCCTGCCACAGCTCCAGGAGGAAGTCTTGAAATGTGAGTCTGTGGAAAAGTCAAGAGAATATTATGGACTAAGAAAAGGCAAAATTATGCAGGACAAAGTAAGCTTGTAAGTATTGAACAATTAAGCTGTTCCCTCACTGAAGTCTGAGGACAAACTACAAAGCAACTTGAAAAGCAACTGAGATTCTTTTTCTATTTTGTTTGCATTAATGTTTAACACATGAAGAGAAAGACCATGACAGATGCATAGAAAAGGCAAATTGGATGAATCAATGCACTGAAAGTAGAAAGAAATATCCAGAGTGAAGACAAAAGAAAATACTTCTGGCATCTCACGGTTTATAGGTCTGTTTCTTAGGGTGATACAGAAGTCTTTACTACCACATACAGAAATACACCTTCGAGAAACCTCAGATAGAATTAAATACTTGACAAACTAACACTTCAGAGGATAAGGCTACTGCAATAATCAGGATGCAAGTAAGAAGTTTCTCTGCATAAAATACCTACACATCCACCCAAAAAACTCCAAAGACTTCCCGTTGCCAGCCACCAAATAAATCAACCCAAGAAACAATTGTGTTTCTGCCAATAGGCATCTTTTCCACAGAAAGTTTTAAAAGCCTTTGAGAAGGCACTGGAATATTTCAGCCAGAAGTGGGTACATTTGTCTGTGTACCCAAGACTCCAGTTTATAACTGAATTGTAACTCAGTGACCCTAAAAATCTGTTAATTATCCTTTATATACTGGGGTATGTTTTATTACTGATGGGCAAAAGCATCTGCTTATGAAAAGATACTTTGACTCGCTGTTAAGAGTAATGACTTTTTATCACCCTTTGCACATGTTTTTACACTGTGAAAACTGCTCATGTTCTATTAAATTAGTAACTAGAAATGATTCCTACTATGGTATAAAGCTTACAACATAATGTTGCTGGCATTTAGAAACTACAGCCTCCTCTAAGTGCAGCCCATTTGTTTGTACATACATTATCCCATTTAAAAGATTTAGTAGTTGCAAAATGTATCACTTGCAATGAGGGAATGTTTGTTAACATTGTTAAGGGGTTGTCATAAAAAATACAAATGTAAAAGTACAGTAAGAAAAATTTGCATCAATTGAGCAGAAAGTGATTTGAGACTTTAAACTCAGCTCATTACATTGAAGAAATATTTTGTGTCTTGAGCAGCTTCTTTTAATTCCTTTCTTGATAAGGGGGCATCCTGCTGCCTGCACTTAGGTAGCCTTGTTTTCAGTTAAATCACAGAATAAGATTAAATTTAAAACATTTCAATGTTTTAATTTCATTACTAAAACTTTGATCTCTTGTTTTCCTGCTTGATATATGAACATATTCCTACTTTCAGAACAATTTCAGTTACAATTGTGATTTGCCACTCCAAGAAGCAAATAATCTGTTCAAATCTGTTACAGTTTCCCTCAAAATGTAACTGACAATTTTTCTGTAGATGTCATTTCACAAATTAAAAAAAAAAATTAAATTAACAAAATCAAGTGGAAGAAAGGTATTTTTATTCTATGACTGACAGATCCATGATATTTTCCCGATATTTTCCTAGGTCTGTAAAAATTTTTAAATGAAAAGGATGACAGTATAAAAGGAGCACAGTTTGATGGGCATGGTAGCAAATTTGTTTCCTCAGAGGAAGAATGTTACTTGCTCAGTGAGGTACTGCAATCAGAGCAAACCAGTAAATTAATCCTAATGAGTTTTTGAGCAAGGGGAGGAAAATGTACAAGAGGGAATAAGCAGGTAGTCACTATCTATTAATACATTAGCAAGTATCTATGCTTAAATAGCCACCCAAACCACATTTCCTACAGAAAACCTCATTTCCTATGTCAGGAGGAACACATTCCCCATCCACAAGACCCCAAACCACTGTGCACCAGCATCTGAAGATTTCCATTTACAGAAACACTGAAACCACACATAACAAAGCCTTTCTTAAAGCCTTTACTTGCATCTTGTTTATTTGCATACTTTCTGTGATGGAGTAAATACAGATCTGGTTTACACTGACTACTTATTATTACTTTCACCAATGGCTGCCCTGTGTAGAACAAAACTGAGACAGATTTAAGATGATAATGTTTAAGATGTTGCTTAATAAATAATTTGAAAGGGTAACATTGCTATGTCAAGACAACTGTAGAAAACTCCCAAATGAATTCTTACATTTATATCTCCCTTGTTCTTAACCATATGAACAAACTCCAGTAAATAAAAAGAAACATCAAAGAACACAGAATATTTTTAAATTAACCACAGTACTTATTTGTAAATTTGTTACATTTTTATATCCCAACATCATATTTTACATTAAGTCCAGATTGTATAGTCAATTAGGTTTAGAGTCTAGAAACTTAAAAATGAAAAAGCAAACAAAAAAGAAGAACACTGGAAAGGTTTTAATTGAACTCAATTAGTCTGTCAGCTTTACAAGTCGAATGAACCCACACCTGGAAGAAATTGTGCCTGGGACCACAAAAAAAAAAAAAAAGAAAAATAAAAATTTTTCCTGAATTAATCCTCCACTCAATTCCACAGAAGACTCTCTTTGAGGAAAATGCATGTCAAAGAATGGTAGATTAAGAATGATGAGTTATCCACATATTCAGCTTCAATTATAGGCATTTTACAGTCTCAAGAATATTCTGATTTGCCTTCCCAGAGAAAAGCAAGGTTGGTGAGGGTCCAGTAGGATATGGGGTACCAACACCTGGGACACCAGTCTGTCAACTGCAGATTTTTGCTGCAGCTTCGAGGAGGAACCTCTTGTCCACAGTTCCACAGGAAAAAAGGTAAATGCTGGAAGAAACATTTGATCTTTTGCTTCCTACCCCTCTCTAAAGCCCAGAAGAGCTAACCAATCTTCTGATGCTGATTCTTGCTCTGTGTTCTTGCCATCCAAACACTCAGTGTTTCCCTCTTTCCCTCCTAACCAAACCTACATCATGGAACTACTGATCCCAACCCCAGTGCTGCAGACACTGGAATGTAATTCTCTCCCAGTGCTTTCTGATGCACACTGCAAAGTTCCCTATCTAAAAACTAATAGCTCTTTCTGGAATTCATGGAATACAACACCTATAGGAACAATATATGGTTTCATCTCTTTGACTTCTATTACTTCATGTCTCGTAGACAAGGATTCTGAAAAAACCTTGAGACCAAGGAATATGAAAAATATTTTCTTTTAAAGAACTAGTCTCCTCCATCTATTCACATAAAAGTATCAGTTTTTCACAGCAACTTAGAGAATTTTTCTTTCATTAAAAGCATAAATACAATATAAAATGAATATATAAAATTTCAGCCAAGAGACAGACAGTGCTGCATGAGAAAGCTGAAATCAATCAAACACTGCCAAGAGGACAGAGTACAACTACCAGATGGCAGCACATTCAGTTCTTAAGCAAATCTAGGGAGTACTTCATGTGTTTAGCACTCTTATTACACACTCAGGATGTGCTTTAGACAGAATAATTTATAAAACAAACTTTTTCCATTCATTACACTATAGAGATGAAATATAATGAAAGACCAAAGGTACCATATCCTTAAGGAAATTGCTTTCTACAGCTTTGCTCCCTGAAAAAAAGAGTACCACCAAACTCACATACTCTTTAGAAATTTGGAGCCTTCTAGCTGGGTACACACTTCCACCATCAGAACCATCTGACCACACATTCTGAATTTATTTTCTAAAATAAATTAAGAGTTAAGAGCCCATTTTGGCAGCAACTCTGCTGCTCTGTCTCCTGGTATTCTCTCCTCCACCATGGTTTGTATGTACACCTGTAGTACAGGAAGAGAAGGTGCCCCAGTAAATACTGGCAACTGCTGCTATCAGAAAATGCCATGTGCATCTTGTTTGGTGAAACCTTAATAAAGAAAAAAATGAGAAACAAATAGAAAGAGAGGATCCAGAGTATTGTCCTTGTTGAGCAACAACAGAAAGACACAGTGATGGGGTAATTCTGGTCTCACTGCACTGAAAATAATGATTTTACATACAGGTTGCTTATGAAGTTAACAGTTTTCCAAGCTCAAATTCATTCTGTGGGTAAGTATGTTACTATAAACTATTTATGTATCTAATTAAATCACTCATACCTGTATCAAGACAGCCTAATGACACATCCCAACCAATCATCTAATCAGCTCAGCATCCCAGGGTTTTGTAGAGGTATTCTAAAACCCTGTCAGGAATCTTCAAATGGGATTTGCATCATTGTGAATTGCAGGTGCTAAGGTTATTGCATTTATATTTGCACAGCTGCACACACAGTCCCATCTTCCCTTTTCCCCTCTCTCAGCCAAATCCAGGGAGAGTTCCAGAACTACTGCCTTTGTGCAAGAGCCCAACCCAAAAAGTGAATTTCTCTTCTCATATCAGAACCAGTTAACTTCCATGAAGGTCTATGAGCCAAACATTTTAACTGGTATCTTAGCACAAATAGGTTTCTATTTGTTTCCAACAAACAGAAAAACCTTTTATTATGAGAGAACTGGATGCAAAGAGTAGTTTTCAAATGAAAATTTCTGACTGATTCCCCAGTCTCCAGACAAGCATGAAGATTAAAGGAAATAAGTAGAACAGTGACATAGACTTCTCCTGTCTCATGAAGTTAAAAGAGTGTCTCTGTAGTCTGAAATGAATGACTGAATTATTTGACTTCATATTTCTGCTCACTAAACAGGCTTGGTAAATTTTTCCACTAATTTTCAAATTAGAATTAGGATACTTTCAAGATGTGTTTTTTCACCCAATGAGCACTGGAAAGCTGCCCTTCTCCTGACAAAGGGCTTTCACAGACCTTTCACTCACAAAGTCAAATACAGAAGCTCATCCTCAGAAAACCAACAGCAATCGCTACAATCAGTGTTTGTCACATGTATCACTTCAAACACAGAGGGAAGGACTTCTGCTAAATTTTACAATGTCAGTAAAGGCAAGTAAATCTGATGATGACAGCTTACATCTCCACAGGAAAAGTGAGCTGGAG